CTGACACTCAACTGAGGATGCAGAGGAACCTCAAGCGTATCTCCCATTCTACTACTGAACTTTTACAGACAGAAAAGGTGTTTTATTATTATAGATTTCCACAGGGAAAGAGAAAATAAAGCAGATGGAACATCATATTCAGTATTTTGTAAATCACCGTTTGCAGCTGAGATAACTAAAGCCTTGGCAGGCAATGTCTTCTCAAATACACTCCCTTTCATGGGAGATGTTTAATTCATTGTAAACAGAACTATAAAGGGACCAGTCCACACATTTGTTGCTTTTCCCACCCTTGCCACTGCTAACATTTCCTCTATCTACTGAGTAGGTGTAGAGAAATGAGTATCCTTTCTCCCCAGCCTGCATTAACGAATCAAAACCGGGGTTATCCAAAAGCAAAATATCCCGTTAAATATTACTAAAATATATTGCAATTCGGTTTAGAAAAGGCTAAAGCAATGATTTTGGTGAGGGTTAGGAAAGATTTCAAAGCAAGAGGGTGCAAGGTCTGGCAGGGTAGATAAGAGAGAAAACTTGGTAGCTAAGATGAAGGGTCAGAAGATATGGTACTGGGGCCTCTTTTGGCTTAGCCTAGGCACAGTCTAATTGAAGGCACTGGTGGTTGGCCACATTACTCTCTAGTTCAGTACAGTCAGACTGATAAAACAGTTTGTGATTTCCCTGTAAACTGTAAAAGCAGATATATCACCAATATTAAAACAAGCAAAACCCAACTCTGTTCTGAGAAACATTTTATGGCATGTTGAAAAGGACTACTGAAGGTTCTGCATCATTTCCCAAAACCGACTAGGACAATAGTGACTCACCAGTTGTTCCTGAACATACACTACAAAATGTTTTAGTCACACAAACCACACGGTGAATCTCCTTGATGAGATATTTTGAAACTTGACAATCCATCCATGTCAGTGCAACACTTTCCATCATCCTTAGCAGGAAATGACCAGTCCACAAAATATTAGGAAATCAATTCTCCATTTGAGGAAGCTCTGGAGTTTGTAAGAGTTGTATGTAATACCTCCAACTGTGTGTTGCAGATCTTCATGATTGGAGTATACAAACCTGTTTCCCAACACTTCAAAACAGTAAGGGATATTTACAACAATAGAGCATTTCCTAACCTTCCAATCAAGCACTGAAAGATGAATTGCAGTGCATTTCCTGAGGATTAAGGAGCAGGTGGTCCAAAGTGCAGTTGAGAGATGCCTTGACGGTATTAATCCCTAGAAAACGCCTTGTTCCAAATTCTTTGTTGCTACTATGAAAACTGAGTGCACAAGGAACACAGATGTAAGGATATTTTATTGTTGATATATTTACCCACACAACAATATAGAGCATTTGAGCATTAACGTATCCTACAGTGGACAACTGGACTGCCTAAATCATATCTCAGCATTCCGTTCATTTGTTTCATAAGTCTCTGACATGCCTCACTCACTAGAATTGTGCCTGTACCAAACAAGAACTGGACCAGGAGATGCAGGCAAGTACAGGAAGGATTATGGTACTTAACAACATAACCTACTTTTTTTACACCCTAATTTTCAGGAGCACTTTATATTGAGTTTATAAATCACTTCAAATGTCACATCTTTTTGCATTAAAGATTCATTTGGCACAATGCCATGTTCAACTTCATAGACCCCTAACAGCATGGCTAAAATCTAATGACGTAACTAAAGAAAGCAGTGCTCCAGAGCACTAAGACAGATAATCAAGAGGAGGAATATCACGAACATTTCACCATTTCTTCCTAAAATTATCCTCAGATTCCCTTGTTAGTAGTAACTAAATATGTAGAAATGAGATAGGGCCTCAACACAAAAAGTTAGGGAAGAATGTCTAGAAAAATGTGTACATTTCAAGAGGGAAAGTAAGAGAAGATTTCTGCAATGTTAAACACTGTGTAGCACAGCAGTGTAAAACTCTGAGTCACCTGGCACCTGCAGTTATGTATGTGTTGAGGATGGCCTGTTGTAGGCAAATGGGCATAGTCTATGGGGCTGTCCCAAATAAATCGGAATTTGGTCACAGATGCCGCAGAAGACTCGCCTCTGGGCAAAACCCTTCAGAAAGCTGAACCCAATCTTTTTTCTTTTTAGTTTTAAATCTGCATAGGAGAGTTTAGCGCTGAGGGAGGATGCTGGAGTGACAGCTGCAGAGAGGGAAAGATTCTCCTTCTCCACATAACAGGTATAGAACAGGCAAGCTTCCTCACATTGCCCCATCAGTGTGTAGTAGTAGGAGTCCACTTAAAACCATACTGAAGGGAGGTGAGAGGATAGGTCAGTTTCTGTGTCCATTCAACACTTGGCCTCAGTGTTAAGAATGCTAACAAAAGTGCAAATTAGTGTTAACGATGATAGGTTTTGTGTAATTTATTTTTGAGCACCATCAGCATGTACAGGGCTTGCATTCTAAAACAGACAGTATAGTAAGGATATACAATACACTAGCTGACCAATGAGGTCTAATCTCAAAATGGTGCAGAAAAATCTGCCTTTGATGGACTGATTATTACTGAAAGCCTTCAAAGATGTATGATGTTTTATTAAGGGACTGTACGAAGAGAGTAGTAGTAGTTTGGCCAATAAAAAGGGAAAACTCTTCAAAACTGCACATAGCACAAAGGCAAGAGGGAGAGGAAAAAACAAAGGGAGCAGGTAATAAAGCTTGGGGTGAAGCAAGAAGAAACAAGAAGAGAGGTACATGCAGGGGAAGACCTGTTCATAGTCCTAAAAGTGGAGACCACAAACATGACCTTGATGAGAAAGGTTATGGGAAGCCACTGCAGGGATTTTAATAGGGGAATTAAATGCTCTCTATCCCATTAGAAATCCCCTGATCCCAAACTGATAACCACTGATAAGAGTTTTACAGGTTTAAAAAAAAAAAGTCCTATTTTAAAGCATCTCTGGGCTTGATTCTGCCTTCCCTGAATACCCAAATCTCAACCTGAACCCAATGGCAGTTTTGGATCCACAAGGAACGAAAAAATCAGGGCTTTTTTTGGAGGGAAATAAATAATTGTAAGGAATTGGAAAAAGATACAGGGTCAGACAATGGAAAGTCATGGACACATTTCCTTTCTGGTTAGTTATAATTTCACCCCAGATATCTTGAGTCAGTTACAGACTAATTAAATGGCTTGTAGGAACTCAATCCCATTCTTTATACAAAAACCCTTGTCATGTGTGTGGTATAGAATCATAGAATATAAGGGTTGGAAGGGACCCCAGAAGGTCATCTAGTCCAACCCCCTGCTCGAAGCAGGACCAATTCCCAGTTAAATCATCCCAGCCAGGGCTTTGTCAAGCCTGACCTTAAAAACCTCTAAGGAAGGAGATTCTACCACCTCCCTAGGTAACGCATTCCAGTGTTTCACCACCCTCCTAGTGAAAAAGTTTTTCCTAATATCCAATCTAAACCTCCCCCACTGCAGCTTGAGACCATTACTCCTCGTTCTGTCATCTGCTACCATTGAGAACAGTCTAGAGCCATCCTCTTTGGAACCCCCTTTCAGGTAGTTGAAAGCAGCTATCAAATCCCCCCTCATTCTTCTCTTCTGCAGGCTAAACAATCCCAGCTCCCTCAGCCTCTCCTCATAACTCATATGTTCCAGACCCCTAATCATTTTTGTTGCCCTTCGCTGGACTCTCTCCAATTTATCCACATCCTTCTTGAAGTGTGGGGCCCAAAACTGGACACAGTACTCCAGATGAGGCCTCACCAATGTCGAATAGAGGGGAACGATCACGTCCCTCGATCTGCTCGCTATGCCCCTACGTATACATCCCAAAATGCCATTGGCCTTCTTGGCAACAAGGGCACACTGCTGACTCATATCCAGCTTCTCGTCCACTGTCACCCCTAGGTCCTTTTCCGCAGAACTGCTGCCTAGCCATTCGGTCCCTAGTCTGTAGTTGTGCATTGGGTTCTTCCGTCCTAAGTGCAGGACCCTGCACTTATCCTTATTGAACCTCATCAGATTTCTTTTGGCCCAATCCTCCAATTTGTCTAGGTAAATATACTCTAAATCTCAGTGTCTTGGCCAAATAATTTAGCCTGAAAACACTCAAAGTAATGAGGCTCCATGCAAGTGCTCAGCTGCAATGTTTATTAAGGTTTTTAAAATCTGTTTTTAAATTACAGAAATGCAGTAAAATTACATCTAGAATGTCTAAATCATCTTTTCAGCCCCTTTGAAGCCTAAGTTCTTGGTGCTGGCACAGCCACTGTTAAGTAAAAGATATACACTTGCCAGGAAAAAAAGTATAAAAACTACCAGGAGGATTGCTGAAAATATAATTTAAACCGTAACTTGGCAAAGATCACATTTTTAGAGAGTGACTTTTACTACGGTTCTATAAACCCCTGACAAAATGGGTTTATTCTGGCGAGTTCAACATTATCAGCTATAGCACAATAAGCAGGTCTGACTGTAATACAGAAAGAAAGATCTAAGCACTGGATATAGTACATATCTTACAGTTTATTTAAATATTTCTGTACCTCAAGCATCAGAAACCAACAAAAACCCACGCATATGTTATATACGTTCAAATCCAAATATAGTCAAGATGAAATTTACCTGGTTTACAAAACACCACAAAATACACAGGGTCACCCAAATTATTGTTCTGTTTATTTTGCCTGCATATCCCTCTCTTTAAAGTTCTCTCTCCCGCACCCTTTCTGTTACCTTTTCTGGATAGTGTGATTTGACAGTAATGTCTGAGAATGCCGCTGCTCCAGAAGGGGGGTAGGGCTGGTATTAGCCGATAAGGATTATATGCAGGACGGCATTGAGGTATTCTCACCTGTATCAGTTTAGAATCCATAAGTGTGACTCCCTGTCTTAGAATAAATTCTAGAACAAGCAGAGGCTATGGTGCTGAAGGCCAGGATGGACAGAACCAGTTAAATTAAACACCCTACCTGTACATTTGACTCAATGAATGTACAAAGACCATCAAAACATTTCAAAACAGAAGTTTGTTTTATTAAATTACTGAGTTTAAAAAAACCCAGAAACAAACAGTCAGGAAATACTTTCACTTCAACACAGAGTTCCTGCTGCAGTGATTTTTCCACCAGTGAAAGTGGATCATCTCTTGGTTCATGGCCACTGAAATGAAGCTAATCCTCTTCTTTCTCTATATAGGATTTTGTGCTAACTCGTGCCATTTGCCTAGCCAAGTAGCGATCCCTTGCTGACACCACTGTCTCTTCACTGCTCCGCTTTGCAAATTTGCTCACACACACAGATTTTTTTTCCACCTGCTCTGCACCTTTTTGCCCTTCCTCTGCATCCTTACCTTTTGGCTCGGGAAATCTTTCAGAGCAAGAGATTCTCTCATCATTACTCTTTCTGTCCTTTGCCTTTGTCTCCTTTTCCTGGTCACACTGTCTGTCTAAGGATCTAGGGCTACTTTGCTTCTTGTCCCTGTCCCTTTCTGAGGCTCGAGGACTACTTTCCTTCCTGTCCCTGTATTTCTTGTCGTCTTTGTCATCTCTCTCTCTCTTTTCCTTCAAATGTTCCTCCTTTTCTCTGCATTTTTCCCCTCTCTCTCTATCACTGTATCTGTCTTTGCCATTTCTTAGTCGCTCTTTTTCTCGTTCCCTTTCTGAATACTTGTCCTCCCTCTCTTTTCTACCTTCTTTGTCATATCCTTCTCTCTCTTTTCTATCTTTCCCCCTCTGTTTGTCGTCCTGCTCATCCCTCTTTCTGTAGTTATCTTTACTGGTATGATCCCCATATCTCTGTCGGTCTTCCTTTTCCCTCCAACGATCCTTTTCCTGGTTTCTATCTCTTCTCTCATGATCCCTTTCCTTGTGGTGTTCATCTTTTTCCCTTCTACCTGTTCCACTCTCTCCTCTCCTAGGACGATTTATATGGGTTTTTGTGTGGTGACTTCCTTCCTCACTTGAAGACTCTGATGAGCTGGAGTGTTTCCAGCTCCTGTGATGTTTGGAATCCTCCTCACTGCTCTCACGACTTTCCTTCTTTTTAGAACTAGCTCTGCTATTTTTATGATCATCATCATCATCACTACTATCACTTTCTAAGTCACTGTCCGCATCTGGGTTATCCTCTTCCTTAGCAGGGGTTCTAAGTCTTGGTCTTTCATCTGGACTTTTGTTTCTTTGGATGGATTCATCTGAATTAATGGTAGATTTTTCTTCCTTTATCCTAGATTTGTTGTTGTCGTGGGAGGGGAAAAAAAAAAAGATATTACATAGCCTGCAGTGTCAAACTATTCTGGAGTTTGCGACCTTTTTGTTGGGACTTGAGCAACACTTAAGAATTGATGCAGCTGAAAATACTAAGCAACCAAATCTGGTCCAGAATTCCGGTTCTAATATTCCAACTCTGAGGGATTTGTACTGAAAATTTGCATCAGGTTCTTTGGTACTGTACATGTCCTAGAAAACAGCTGCTCTGATTTTCAACACACTGAAAAAGTAGGCTTTGAATTTCAAGAATGAGTAAAGTTTTACAACTCTAGCATCCTTTTTTAAAGGACAGGACACAGCTTTGTATCCTGGTAATATTATCTACATGGCACACCCTTTCCTAAGTGGCTCACAACCCTACCCATACCATATAGTTCCATATGAAGAAGAGGAGGGATTTTTTTTTTTTCATGTCTGAGAGTTACAAATACAACGGTCATTATTTTAGTAATAGCTGTAAACAGAACTCCTCATCCTAAACATGTGTCTTCATAAGATACTACAAGTTTTAAATTGCAACACAATAATCCTGACTCGTTCTGTGCTTGTTGACTAGGATCTCACTCTTGCGGTTAAACTGACACTAGCATCTTGCTACATTTCTTAACTTGTTAAATATAATCAAACAGGAAACGTGGGACAAACTCTTCGATATCAAACTTGGACAATGCCCAAAAATGTTACAATACCTCAGTCTTTTTTTACTTTTGAATTTTAAATTCCATAGCCCACGTCTGTTTTCACTAATCATGTAGCTACAGCAACTGTCTGTGGTAAATTCTCCTTGGGAATCAGTGGACCATCTGGTTAGGCTGAAAGTTTGATCCGTGGTTTAAAGCATGGTTATTCTTGGAAAAATGACTAAAAATTACACTGTAGTATTCCATAGTTATTCTCTTTCAGTGATCTTCCAGCTCTAAATGATGAAGTTTATAAGTCAAAGGTGAAATTTCTGTTTGGCAGTGCTACAAATTCTGTCTGACATCTGAAAATCTAGATGTTTTCTTTCTGTACCTTACACCAGCATAAGGGAAAAAAAAAATCCACAAAAATCTACAACTCGGCTGACAGTTTTGTTGGATTCAGCAGAATAGATTCCTACTTATCTTCCCATAGATTAATTAGTTCTATAGGACTCAGAGCAACAAAACTTGTTTCTAGTCAATAATTATGATCTGAACACCCAAAAAGCAGATACACTGGCTAAGAAGCCACCATTCTGAAAGTCACTTTTCTGAACATAACTGCACTTAAATACAGCAATTTCAAACTGAGAGAATTGTTCAAGCAAATACAATACCAAGTGGGTTAATCACTACTGCCATTGCTTCATAAATCAGACAACAACATATGGATGGCTTCATAAACAGGCAAATGTGAAAAGCACAGTTCATTTTACATTACAGAAGAGGAGTTTTGTTGGTACTCTTAAGATATACACTTTGCTGGTGAAACTTAAGCTTGATACAGAGCTGCTTTAGAAGAGCATACTGTTGTAGCAGCTGGTTCTATAAATCTTAGAGTGCCAAACAACAGCAGCCCTAACTTGTCCATTTTATATCCGACTGTTGGAGGTATGCTGGTCTAAGTATGCTGACCTCCTGCTAGGTTTTCCCCTAATTTTCCCTATTATTTCTGAGATTGTGGCACAGTGTCACAATAAATATAGGCCAGAAGTCCTGTCTCTCAGTAGGAGGAGTAGCTCTAAAGTGATAACCTTCCTCACTTTAAACGAAGAACTAATTTGAGATTCCTTTCAATTTCAGTCCCAGGAAGCCTCCTGATTGAAGGTAATATTCATAGTCTTAGGATACAGAACATACACCTGATCACTGAAGACTTTCTAAGGTCCCAACAAATTAGTTTTAACCTGGATGAAGTGCCTTGAGTGGTCATTGGTTGCTATAAAGCCTTCAGTAAAATTAAAAAACCCAGCCAGCATCTCAGCCAGAGACGACCCAACTGTGTTCTTTCTATATTGGCCCAAAAACAGAGTGGCATTTAATTATTTTGTTGTACACAGTACATGTAAAATTTAAAATATTCCCAATGGACTTGCTGTACATCTGATTGCTTCCTTTTGTCATGAGTATTAAGCCAATCAAGAAAACTGAAGGTTTTTTTTCATATTTATGGTTAAATGCTGCCAGCTACAAAGACAGAGACTCACTGGTTCCAATTTTCCAGTGGGTGATAAAATGAAGTTGCACAACCATTAAATATCATTATCCACCTGAGCCCAAAACTATCTTCCTCTTGCTCTGCCTCCGGTAGCAAAGCTTTTGGTTTAATGTGGCTTATTAAAATGTATACAATGTCAAATTAAAAAAACTAGCTTAGAATAATGCTAGAATGTATTACCAGCGTAAGTATCCCCTTAACCCTAACCCTTCTCCTATTCTATACTTTCACCCAAGGATGATGATTTTTCATTTTCCAAAGAATGGTGTAGTCAACTCTCGAAAGCAAGCTCCTCCCCAACCAGTGCTTTGGTACGGCCTTCCTTCTTACTATGATTCTAGTGACACTGGGAATTATGAACAGCATGAAGAAACTATACATATAAAGTCCTTCTGGAACTATGTCCTACCTGGCTTCACGGAGGCTGCATTTGGGCACCTCTTCTTCCCCCACTGTCTGGTTTAAAAGATGTCTGTAAAATCCACTGAGATCTTTCTGTTTTGTTACATCCAGGCATGCTAAAGGAAGGAAAATAAGAATGATGTTAGTTTCATGAACATTAACCAGACCCTATTGACACATGGTAAACCCATAATCCAGAAAGAGATGCTCAGGACATTTTGAACATGTAGAAGTAAGCCAGCCTACCAGACTTGATTATTTTCCATTCTGGTTACTGCTTTCAGGCTAAAACCAGCTCTCTTAATCTCTGGGACACGTGACTGTAAATCTGGCATGAGAATTGCTACTAATATTGCCACAGACTCTTCCTCAGCAACACTGACTCACTAGTCTCCTTTAACAGCCTCCCCTTTCCAGGTGCAAAAATCATGCAACCAGTACTGATGTGAGTGAGGTTCCACTCTATTTCCTCACATCCCACAGCAATCTGCCAGGGTAAACTACAGTCACAAAGTGCACTCTCATTTAGTTCAGTGTGTTATTCTCTGCTCTTCCTTCACAGTAAGTAGTTATAATTCCATACCTTTCATCACGATGTATTTTTGACAGCTTTCCATGCCCCCACCTTTAGTCCTGCCCTCTCTTTGCCCATTGAGTTGGCTGTATGGTTTTGGAAGTCCCACCTACCCTTTCCAGGGCCCCTAGGGATAATTTTTAACAGATGCATTTTTGGTGCTATTGGCCATTTTGAAAAAAAAATATTAAAATGTATTTAACTTATCCTTACTGGAAACGTTAAAAATAAATGAATGAATATAGATTTTGTACCTTTTTTCATTTTAAGAGGGAAATATACTTTTTACTCAGTCAGTTTTACTGGGATAGGAAAAAAGGATATGTGTTAACACACACACGTACGTATTAGTGATATACAGAGAAAATATAATGGTTGCATGTGTATTAGGCATAGTAGTTCTACAGCCAGCAGCTTTCAGAGTTGTCCAAGAAAGTTTTACATATAATCAAAAGGTATCAACATCTTTGTCGAGCTATGTGCAAAACTATTATTTTTGTCGATTTTATTTTTCATCTTCACATTGAAGCAGTCCAAAAGAATTAATTTTTCTGTGCTTATAAAAAACTTTACATGGCATGGTATACCTTGTACACAAACCGTAACACCTAGCACTCCTCTCCTAACACTCAAACATTTGGTTTTGTTTTAACCAAAGAGGAAAAGGTCTAGTGAATTAAAAACTACAATACAGTGTTTGAGAGAGAAGGTGGGTAAAGTAGAATCTTTTACTGGAACAATTTCTCTCACCAACAGAAGCTGGTCCAATAAAAGATATGACCTCACCCACCTTGTCTCTCTCATATCCTGGGACTGACATTGCTACAACAACACGGCATAATACAACGTTTAACAGATATACTATCTTAATTTTTTTTTTAAATTACCATTGGCTTCTTTTTAAAATTTTGCCTAAATAAATTAATTCCAAAACATGCAAACAAAAAACTGTAAAAACAGTCTACAGGGATAATTTACAAAATGTGGAGAAAGTTTAGGCTCCAGAGAATATCAATATCATACAAAATCCTCCTTTACAGAGGTGGACTAAAATTTAAATTTAAAAAGACAAGTAATAGCTTTTTATCTGATTGAAGACTGAGATAAAGTCAGCAACTGACATACCCTCTCACCCTGCCTGTCCTCATGACTACCCCTCCAGGTGCAGCCTGGGCAATTAATTGGCCCATCTAATCACCTTCACCTCACACAAGACCTGAAGAGGTTGACACCCCATCACAATGACTCAAATGGAAGATCCTCCTTACCTAGGGAGGGAGACATGAAACTATTGTATAGAGGACATGCCGTTTGAGAAAGCCTGTTAATTAAAGTCTGGTATACCATTGGCATAACCAGTGTTTGAAACACTGGAACTATGCCATGACAGCAGGACAACAGGGGTTCACTGCTGCTGATGTGCCAAGAGTATATTTGTGTCTGTTTCCCACAACTTCACAATACTTTAAAAACATAAAGTAGAGAAAGTAAATGAGGAAATCTTATTTACCCCTTCTCATAACACAAAAACTAGGGGGAAACCAAATGAAATTAATTGGCAGCAAGTTTAAAACAAATAAAAGGAAGTATTTCTTCACACAAAGCACAGTCAATCTGTGGAACTCTTTGCCAGAGGATGTTATGAAGGCCAAGACTATAACAGGGTCCAAAAAAGAATGAGATAAGTTCATGGAGGATAGGTCTATCAATGGCTATTAGTCAGGATAAGCAGGGATGGTGTCCCTAGCCTCTGTTTGCCAGAAGCTGGGAATGGGCAACAGGGTTGGACCACTTGATGATTCCCTGTTCTGTTCATTCCCTCTGGGGCATCTGGCATTGGCCACTGCTGGAAGACAGGATACTGGGCTACACTGACATTTGGTCTGACCCAGTATGGCCATTCTTTTCTTCTTATGTAGAAGATGGCAGTTTTAGATATTAACTAAAAGAGTCAGGAAAAGAGTGCACGATAGAGTTGGAGGATATGTTTTTTTAAAGATAACTAAAAAGTCAGGAAAAGGGGCAAGGAGAGTGGAGGTATCAGACTAGTTAAAATACCACCCTGGCTTACACAGGAAGTGAAGGAGGTTATAAAAATTATAAACAAAAACAAAGGGAAGAAAGAGGATGCTGATAATAATGAATATAAATCAGAGGCCAGGAATTACAGAAAATTTGTAAGGGAAGTAAAAAGACAAAGGATAAATCTATAGCCAGCAGATTTAAGAACAATAAGGATTTTTTTGGTATATTTGGAACACAAAAAATTCTTACAATGGTATTGGTCCTTTACTAGATGGAAATGGTAGAATTGTCAATAATAATGTAGAAAATGCAGAAGTGTTAAATAAATATTTCTTTTTGGTATTTGGGGAAAACAAGACGATGTAGTCATAATACAGGATGATAATAAAACGCCTTCCATTCCAACAGTAACTCAGGAGGATGCTAAACATCAGCAACGAATGTTAGACATTTTAAAAATCAGAAAGTCTAGATAACTTACACCTAAGAGCTTAAAAGGGCTGGCGAAGGAGCTTGCTGGACTGTTAGTGCTGTATTTGGCACTGGTACAACCACACCTGAAATACTGTGTCCAGTTCTGGTGCCCATAATTCAAGAAGGATGTTGATAAATTGCAAAAGGTTCAGAGAAAAGGCACGAGAATGATTAAAGGATTAGAAAACATGCCTTATAATGATAAGCTAAATAGACTGAGCTCCTCGAGTCTAAGAGATGGTTAAGTGGTGAGTTGTCCATAATTTATTAAGTACCTATATGAGAACGAAAATGTGATAATGGGCTCTTCAACCTAGCAGAGAAAGGTACAACAAGATCCAATGGCTGAAAGTTGAAAGCTAGATAAATTCAGTCTGTAAATTTTTAACAGCGAGAGTAATTAACCACTGGAACACTCTACTGAGGGTCATAGTGGATCCGCCATCACTGGCGATTTTAAAATCAAGACTGGATGTTTTTCTAAAAGATCTTCTCTAGTTCAAACAGGAATTAATTCTGGGATGTTTTATGGCCTGTATTATACAGAAGGTCAACTAGATGGTCACAATGCTCTCTGTGCTTTTGGCCTTACAATCTATGAATACGTATGTATTAACATTTGTTTATTCCTCTGTCATTAAGACGTTATACAATTATTTAATGGCTTTATTTAGAATTGTACTAACTGTATAAAAATAATATTTCCCTCTTAAAATATGGAAGACATTACATTGACATGTATTCATTTATTTTCAATAGTTCTAGTAGAGAAAAATACATTTTAAAAGTATTTCCTCCCCCCCATGACATGTGTCCAAAAATGATAGTTAGGGGCCCTGGAAAGGTTGGAAAGGATAAAAGAGATGCTCAAAACCATGTGGCCAACTCACTGGACAAAAAAGAGGAGAAAATAAAAGGTGAGGGCAAGAGGCATGGAAAACTGTCAAAAATACATGGATGGTTAAACCTGTCTCAACATAGGCAGTAAACTAAATGACTTCTTGATGTCCCTTCCAGCCCTACATTTCTGTTACTACTACAGAACCCCATAGAATCATAGAATATCAGGGTTGGAAGGGACCTCAGGACGTCATCTAGTCCAACCTCTTGTTCAAAGCAGGACCAATCCCCATCTAAATCATCCCAGCCAGGGCTTTGTCAAGCCTGACCTTAAAAACCTCTCAGGAAGGAGATTCCACCACCTCCCTAGGTAACCCATTCCAGTGCTTCACCACCCTCCTAATGAAAAAGTTTTTCCTAATATCCAACCTAAACCTCCCCCACTGCAACTTGAGACCATTACTCCTTGTTCTGTCATCTGCTACCACTGAGAACAGTCTAGAGCCATCCTCTTTGGAACCCCCTTTCAGGTAGCTGAAAGCAGCTATCAAATCCCCCTCATTCTTCTCTTCTGCAGATTAAACAATCCCAGTTCCCTCAGCCTCTCCTCATAAGTCATGTGTTCCAGTCCCCTAATCATTTTTGTTGTCCTCCGCTGGACGCTTTCCAATTTTTCCACATCCTTCTTGTAGTGTGGGGCCCAAAACTGGACACAGTACTCCAGATGAGGCCTCACCAACGTCGAATAGAGGGGAACGATCATGTCCCTCGATCTACTGGCAATGCCCCTACTTATACAGTCCAAAATGCAGTTAGCCTTCTTGGCAACAAGGGCACACTGACTCTCATCCAGCTTCTCGTCCACTGTAACCCCCAGGTCCTTTTCTGCAGAACTGCTGCCTAGCCATTCGGTCCCTAGTCTGTAGCGGTGCATGGGATTCTTCCGTCTTAAGTCCAGGACTCTGCACTTGTCTTTGCTGAACCTCATCAGATTTCTTTTGGCCCAATCCTCTAATTTGTCTAAGTCCCTCTGTATCCTATCCCTACCCTCCAGTTTATCTACCACTCCACTGTTTTCTCTTCATCCACAGAGCCAGTTATCTCGTCATAGAAGGCAATTAGATTAGTCAGGCATGACTTGCCCTTGGTGAATCCATGCTGACTGTTCCTGATCACTTTCCTCTCCTTTCCATCTACAACCTAATTCGGAGACCAGGATGAAAACTCTATCACACCTATGACCACTATCTGTAACAGCAAAAGGCCACACTTTCCTTTTGAGGAAGAGTCAGATTGGTTCAATGTAAATCTCACCCTCCAGGGCTGCTTCCTTTTTTTCTCTTTCCTCCTCCTCAGCCCTTTCTTGCAGTTTCTTCTTATAGGCTGATGTCACAAAGGCCTCTTTGTCATCAAACTCTCCCCCTTCCATTTCACGCTCCTTCTGAATTTTTTTTTCCATTCTTTTTTCCTGCTCCTGCTTTCTTACCTCAGCTGCTTTGAGGATATTTTGGATGTATTTGGGCTAAGGTGGAGAAAAAAAGAGTAATGAGATGGAATCAAGGTGGCTGAGAAAAGACAAATTAGAGTTGCTAAGTACACTAAAAAATCAGTTTTTAATGGAACAAAAATGGCAGTAGCCAGCCCAGCTGGTTTATACTGTTGCCACTGCTGGGACAATTATCTCAATGAACTAATACAAACATTTTTCAGCTCCAGATCATGGGAATTTTCTCCTCATTAATGAAACAGTTGCATTCAACAAAATCTGAGCCTAGCTTCAAGTGGTGTACTGCTGCTCAGACTGAGATCAAATGCTTTCAATACAACCTTTCTTCCAGCAGTTTTCTGTCTTGTGATAGTTCTCTCCCTCTTCAACTTGCTATAAGGGAATGGGAGGCATTCCTCATTTAGACCTATCATAGCCTGACAAACACTCCATTACCAAATGCAATGAGCAATAATGAAAATGTGATTTGTCACGATAATTCAGCCATTTTCTAGAATAAGGAATTGGGCTGTAGAAATTGGTTCACATGTTACAGATGAAATGTAGTTACTTTAGCTTCTTGACAGACCCTACAGCAGCTGACTAGTGAGAGGCATACTCATTGCTACAAAATTTGGTCAGGTTGCCCAAAGACAGCCCTTCCCCCGTTCAGTTGGGTTGCCTGTTTCGGAATTAGTAGTAGCAGCACCGTTGTAGTGACTAAAGGTGCTATCAGAACTATCCCATTGTAACAGGCTCTCTAGCAATTCACGTGGTCCTTGTCCCACAGAACTTATGGGTGGGAAGCTATGCAGACCTGTTGTCCTTCCAATCAACGACAGAATGAAATGGGACTAGAGTCCTGAAATATTTGATGAACTACCAGTTTTACAACACCTTACAACTACCAGTCTTACAACATCACAATTTTATATAACACAATTTTGAGCACAACACTTGAGGGCCCTGCTACAGAATGAACAACGGGTTACTAGGATATCAAAAAACTTAGTAAAATCAGTTAAATAGCCATGGTTATTCCCAGCATACAGAGGTAACACAGACAGCATACATTTTCAGTTATGGACCTTTTTGTCATCTTTTCCGGAGAGTACTTTGGCATTACTTTCTTTCTTCTGCTGCTGCATTTCATCATAAATACTGTCATATTCATACACTGTGGAGTCTTCTGCCAAGGCCTTCTGAATCTCAAGTTTGGTCTTAAAAAAAAGAGAAACACAGACCAATGAAGCCTGCAACTTTAAGCTTTTAAAACTTTTTATTCATATATTTTGCTTTAACTACATTAGTTCATTATATAAATCTACTACAAAACTGAACAAAAATTCACCATAACTCCACATACAAAGTCCTTTGTTTGGTATCAGAATTAAAAATAAGAGTAATTATAAGAAGAAGGATATTTAGGAGATAAGGAATAGAATACAATGAGAAAACATAATAATTACAGCAATTAAGCTATTATGGATCCTGCTTAGTGGAGAATTACCCATCAAATAATATCCCTAGCTCAGATTCAATGGGATTTTTTTAAATAAATACAAATAATAAAAAGTTTAGCCAATTTATCCATCTATTTTTCTACATAGTTTTCTCTAAATATACTGCTATAGGTCATCTACAGAACTTTATCCCATGCACTTTACTTCCTATAAATAACCTTGTATTATGTTTGGGCTAAGTGTAATTGTTTTCCTATAGTTGGGTCTCTTTACAGAAGTATCATATTCCTCCTGGACAACTTTCCAAGAGTCTTCCAATACAAGACTCATTGTTGGTAAGAACTCCATTATACAAGAACTCAACACTTTATCATCTTTAATTTCCTTAAAATATTACATTCTCCCTCCAAAAAAAAGTTGTTTAAAATATTCATTCAATAAAGCATCACTACATTCTACATCACAGAAATAAATGCAACTTCTCGTGGTTTTACGGTGTGTGTATTTGTTGTAAACTACATTCAGCTCTATGGAAACTTCAGTTACAAAGTTTGCATTAGGCTATTTTTCAGCTGCTCCTGGACAAAGCCAAAGAATTGCAAGAACAGTCTTGTTCAGAAAAGTGGAATAATTTAATACACCCATAGAAACATGGAAGTTAAAAATCAGCTAGGGGAAGACTCCTACTTCACATTTGCTAAATTGGAACACAAAAAATTGGCACTAGAGAATTCTAAATCTGTTTTTAAAGAAGTCTTGCATTGCAGATGGGATGCAGAAAATCACCATGTTTGAGTGAATTTTTAAACATTAGTTCTAAATGTGAAGGACTTGCGCACATGCAGCATGTGTGGCAATGCATTCTGGGATGTACTGATGCATGGAGAACTGGGAGTAAAGGGGACTGGCCAAACTAGTTACAAATGCATGGTTAAGAAGGGAGTCTTCTTACCCACACTGAAAAAAAAAACAAAAAAACTGTGTGTTGATTACAAGAAGACAGCCAGCCTAGATTGCTGGCAAGGGCAAAACATCATTAGCTGGCATGGTTACTAATGATAGCAATTTCTTACTTTGTTATATGCATGAGGACTCCCACACCACAACTTACTTGCTTCATTACTTGCTTTTTTAATGCTTCTTTTTGTAGACTCTCACCCACAGATGCCTATTAAAAGATATTATTAGCAATAAAATTAGATTATTGTGTTTACACAGGTTATACTGGGTTTTATTTTTCTAACACTATAATAATCCATAGCTTATTTTTTTTAATAAAGTGGTTTCACTGTATTATTATTATAACTTTTACAGCTTTTTTCTGAGGAGTCGTAAGAAACAAACTGAAAATTAATTAACAAACATAAAATAGATCAGTGCATTGTACCACGGAAAGAAACTATCCCAAATTAGTATAGAAATAATAATCAGTTTTACAACACAATTTCCAAGAAAATTACCTCACCAAAGAACAATACAATTTGGTTCAATTCAACAAAATAAGCAATCTCTGCTCAAGAGATACTTGCAAGTGTAATACCACCGGGCGCTGGAGCACTGATTGTGTGTATGTGTTACATATAAAAAAATTATCTGTGTTGAGGTATATTAGCAGAGCAGTGGTGCCAGAACCCAAGACTGAAATAGCAAGAGGTAATGCAGATCAGACTGAAATGCACTGGAAGTGATATAGAGGGAAGCTTAAACCATGACTACTCACACTATGATCCGAAAAAGGAGGACTTGTGGCACCTTAGAGACTAAAATTTATTTGAGCATAAGCTTTCGTGAGCTACAGCTCACTTCATCAGATTTGTTCTCTAAGGTGCCACAAGTACTCCTTTTCTTTTCACGAACACAGACTAACACGGCTGCTACTCTGAAACTATGATCCTGGCTAATGCAGAATCAGCCCCTCAATTTCCTTAGCACTAAACCTTGCTTGGTTTTTGCTACCAAAAAAAAAAAAAAAATTGTGGAAAATGAAACAAAAACCCACAGTATATTAAGTACTTAGGGGTCTATTCTCCCATCAATAGATTAATCTAATTTCCATTAACATTAGGGAGTTGTATGTGAACACTGAAGGATAAATATAGCTGCAGTTTTTTTAAAGGTTAAAAGATTTCTAATGCCATAAAACAGGAAGGTCTCTGGTCGGAATTCACATGGCCTGTGAATTCATCAGCTCTACAATAATGGACACACTATTAACAACAAAGTTATAGGAATTTGCCAATTTAAAGGTAACAATAATTTAAAAAATTCATCACAATGATCTTATAATACCTTGGACATAAATGCCAAGGAATTAATTTCCTGACACAATCTCTGCAGATAATGCTAGTTGATCTGCCCTTTTTTCTTGCTTCCATTCTTCACATCTATTTTTTGCTGTAGACTAATTAGTGTCCACTAACAAGTAGACACATAACCACAGCAGTTTTGTGTATTTGTACTTCCATAAATACTATGTACAAATAATCTTCCATGGAATCACAATTACACAAAACTTGTGTGGTTACACACACACACACACCTCTACCTTATAGTACAATATCAGGCATGAAAGAATTGTACACAACACCATAACCAGATACCCTATAAGTATTCCTGCACTTATGAAACAGTTGTTTTGATCAAGTCCTGAGCTATGTTAGTAGTTTTGCAATTTGAAGATACGAAATGCCCTTGAGACTGAACTATGGTCATGTTACAATAACCATTTAATCCATTAATCTTTTATTTTAAGCTTTTCAAGATTTTTAATATGCCAGAAAATAGCAGCATTAGCCTTCCGTAGTTTAAGAAAACACAACATAAGAAACAAACTGAAAAAATTAACAAATTGAAAATGTCAATTAAGACAAATACAACTCTCTCAGTTTTCTAATCATATTTTAAACTAAAAATGTCTTAGTTACTGTTGTCTTTTTAACTGCATCTCTTTCCCCCCCCCCCCAAACAGTAGACAATATTTTGTTTGTTAAACAGATTCATTAAGAGGACATGGCACATTGCCTTGTTTATGTAGTTAGGTATCAATTAGCAGTCTTTTCTAGGGGGAACACTGAAAAAAACCTCTCTTTTGCATTTTGGCAGCTGATCTTTTCAATAATGTATGAACCATGCTCAACATCAGATTTTTAAAAAGAGCGTTTGTGTCAATCACTAATAAAAAAAATAAAATGAAATGAAAAGTTGCACTGAGGAAAGCCAAATAAATATAGCACACACAAATTCAAACAGATCTGCTGATAGATGCAGCTTCTGCTTTCATTTGGTGCTTGCAAAATAGCAATGTGCCATGTCCCTCCTTTCATATGCTGTTGAAATCATGTCAACACGGAAATAAGCCGAGTGTTGTTTCTCAACATGGAAAAAAGTTAAGTGCTGTTTCTCAAGCTTTGAACAGTATTTAGTATATCAAATATAGATCTCTTCGCTAGCTTCTTCCAGCAGTAAGTACACGTAAAAAGAACCGAACTTTTATAACTCGTGTATCCCATCTCTATACCTAACCAAGGCAGTATCTCTGAAAGGGCCCCTGATTGTTTTCTATAGCACAGCAACAGAAACAATGGTCCTAGGGTAGTTGTCAATATTTTGAAGACTATATACAAGTGTTCACTGAATATTAGAACTTATATTAATTTACCTGTACTCAACTTTTTTACAAGCTTTCTGCTATAATGTAGCCTACATTCAGGGAAAATATACTAAAGCAGAAAGAAGCTTAAACCATTCAAACTATTCTTTTCAAGCCCTTCCCCTCAATAACTAACTTCCTTCAATATAAGTGACCAATATTAGACAAGTAAAAGGAGGAGGACTAGAAAAAGCAGCTCTGAAACACTGCACATTCTAATGCTCTATTTTGCTAAAGGTTGAATAGCTGTGTATGGAGTGGGCCTTGGCAGAAGAGAGAAAAACCTAAAGTTATATCCAGGCTTCAAAAATGGTAAATCCTGTAAAGTTGAGTAATAATAAAAATAAATAATAATAATAAAAAAAGCAAAAAAAAAAAAGCATGCTGTATACTTTTGGGGAACAAACAGTAGTGACTCCAGGATGGAAAGCTGAGGATTACAGTTATCCCTATCATTAAGGGGCAGCTCTCTTATCTAGCAGTGGATAACTTAAGGTGTGGAAACAAACCACACTCTAGGCCCAGGGCTTGTGAAGCTGAGCATGGCTCACAGACAATAATGCACTTATTTTTAGGAGGGTTTCAAACCCATTGCTGTTCCGCTACATCCATTGGTCAGTTCACAGAATTACTGCAGAGGAGCCATCTGCCTTGCACTCCTGCCCAAATGTAAACCATTCGAAATCATACACACACACAGTTTACAGTTACAGACTAACATGGCTACAACTCTGAATCAGCAAACACAACGAGTACTTGTGGCACCTTAGAGACTAACAAATTTATCTGGGCATAAGCTTTCATTGGCTAAGACCCACTTCATCAGATGCATGGAGTGGAAAATAGCCCATTTTAATCGAATTGTCTTGTTAGAATTGGTAAGGCAACTCCCATCTTTTCATGTACTATGTATATTTATCTTCCTACTGTATTTTCCACTCCATGCACCTGATGAAGTGGGTCTTAGCCCACAAAAGCTTTTATGCATAAATAAATTTGTTAGTCTCTAAGGTGCCACAAGTACTCCTCATTGTTTTTACAGTCTACAGTGATGCTCATGACTACATCCTTTACACTGCAACATACTTTTTGGACTCGAATTAGGATGCATTCATCTACATTTTCTATATTTTCAAACATATTCAATTAATCCTGACTTCATTAATCCATTTCTTTTTTCTTGTGGTTTTAGGAAGCAAATTTTTAAAATAGCGTTTCAGATTCTTTTCAAATATTTATTTAAAACTAAACAGTAACCTTCATTTTAATTTCACATATATTACATATCTCCACAACGTCATGTGACCAGCAGTATAACTTTCCTAATATAAAAGACTATTTAGGGCTGACTCTGTGGGATAGTGACAGTGTTACACAGGAGACGTAGAAGGTACACGATAGCTTACTTTGATATAACTTAAGTCACTCAGGGGTGTGGAAAAGCCACCCCCTCAGCAACATAAGTTACGCTGATCCACGAGCCGGCGTGGACAGCACTAGGTCGGTAAGAGATGCTCTCACACCAACACAGTTACCGCGGCTCAGGAGGGTGGTGCAATTATGCCAACAGGAGAGCGACTGAACTAGCAGCACTGCAGCGGTGCTGCTGTAGCAGTTCTAGGATAAGCCTGCCCTGAGATACGACGCCAGTTCTTGGGGAACAAGGTTGCCTTCTGCTTGGCATAGTCATAGATTCCAAGGCCAGAAGGAATCACTTGTGATCATCTGACTTCCCCAGAACTTTCCCCCAAATAATTCCTAGAGTTTATCTTTTAGCTAACTTTCCCTTGAGACCCAGCTATAAGAGCAGGCTCTCCTAAGGGCCCCATCAGGGTAGAGTGGAGGGGAAAGAGGAAAAACCTATTTCTGTATTCATATCAAAATATCAAACTCTGGTTAGAATGTTTTTCTTCCTACTCAGCCTACAAGAAATCAATTTGTATTTGTATAATATTTATAGACCTGCAAAAGTAATATATGGTTCTCGTTTTTATACACAAAGGTCTAAAGAGGTCCACCTGTCATTTGTTTGTCCAGAGTGTCAGTAAGTTTAAGGAAAAAGGCTCCAGTACAAACACCTCTTCTTATGGTTTGTGGGTGACAATTTCCTGTTCTGCTATGAGCACTGATAGATGAGAACTTCCTGTTCTTTTGTATTGTTTTTACTTATCAACAGTTCATTTACTAAAGGCCCTACAAACTCAGCAATCTGTCTCATGCTTTCTGTTTGTCCACAATCAAGCTATTCTTTGGAGGCACAAAGCTTATAGTGTAATATTTTCTGTCAAGAGCAAATATTTTAACCCTATAGTAAAAACAAACAGAATGCTCCTGTGCAAACCAAGGAAAACTTCTTATAATAGCATTAAGGCACTACAGTATATTACCCCTGAAAAATCTTCCCAAATCCCTCTTGGTTTCTTTTTCCCCCACATTTGAGTTTGAACGTTCTTTCATAATTTTGCATATACCAGTATAGAATCATAGAATATCAGGGTTGGAAGGGATCTCAGGAGGCC